TGACCATGGGGTAAAATTCCTTCCTGACCCCAAATATGGCAAGATTTCAGGTTTGGGGACCAAACAGTGAAATCCAGAATGTGCGAGTATTTTCTTTCTAAATTAAAATCATATATTCATTAACAGTATGAAGTTATGCTCAAGAAAGAATGAATATCAAATACACCCCATCAAGATCACAAATGTTATATCCACACAAAATATAATGGAAGCTGGTCAGGTGTTCCTGTGAGTTAGATGCTGCTGACCAATCATATAAATCATAGCCACAGAAATTAATCATAACAAGCGTGTCAGATATCGCAAAAGTAGCTGTGTTCTCTTACAGACTCATTTAAAAGGATTCTGAAAGCAACTCAAGTATCAAGAATCAAAAGAACTGGGTTATTACAATCTTTGTTATAAAGACTAAAACAGTAAATATTTTTATTAAGCAGATAACTATGGCAAGTAGAATACTGGAAGATCTCCAAAATCTTTTCTACAAAGAAGTTACCACACGTACTTGGAAAAAAATATTTAAACCATTGTAACTACCAAATCGGTCAGACTTGCACCACATACCAGAAGGCCACAAATCCAGGTTAAGAACTCTCTTCTCTGTAAATGTCCTCCTCCACCTACAGAGCTACTACCATCTAGAAATCAAAATTTGCTCCGATTGCTTTTCTCTCTCTTGCTCTTGAAAAAACAGACTGAAGCATATCGTTCCAAAAAGTGAAACGCAAAAACCAGAACAGGTAATTAAGTATTCTACCAGCAGCAAACCTAGTGGAAATTCAACAAAGTTATGAGCCTTTGGAAAAGGAATGTTCAGACACTATTAGACTGTGATTAAGCACTCTCTATAGTTCAAGAAACAAATCTATATAAAGAAAAACAAACATAGCCATAAGTATAATACAAGCTGAACTCCACTAAAAACAAGCTAGCATTCCTGGGGGAGTCTGAACCTGAGCAAGAAAGATGCTTTTTCTGTTGCATTCCTTTCTTACCATGGTTACTGAAGACATTTAGTTCATAATTCTAATGACGTGCAACTGACCTTTACCATAGAAAAGAAATGCCCTACACAATTTTATGCTAATATGCATGAACAAGCAAAAGGATACAAGACTTTATGGATCTACAAATGTCAAAATGAATAAAACAAATTTCCATTACCCAAAGAAAGTTTTGCCCCAGCTCCCACTTTTACACATTTCCCCAGCCCTGACAGAGAGAAAAAAAAGGGCCAGGAAATAGGGGCAGCATGTATGACATTATACATAAAACATTATATATATCTCCCCTTCTCTCTAGCATACTATGTATAATGTTTTATGTAGTCATATAAATATAAACATGTCACACACAACCCCTATTTCTTGGATACTCTTTCCCTGATTCTTTTTCCAGAGGGGGAGGCAGTACAGGTAACAGTGGCCATGGCTTCTTTGTCCTGCTACAGGAAATAGGTGGCAAGGATAGTATCTCCATGCTAATGCCCCTTCAATGACTCATTTCTATAGAAAGTTATAGAATCTGCTGTTCTTCTAACCCCATGACAAGCCATTCATCTTTGTCAATAAAAATAGAGAAGTAGCCAGGTAACTTTAAAAGCACTTTTAGGTACTCTCTTCTACTAGCTAGATTATTTCAGGTATAGAGCAGAAGGCTTATGATTTCCCTAAGCTTCCAAAAACAAATATCTCATATAACCAAACCTATTTCAGAGTGTGTTATCTCTGAAAATAAAAACTAATGGTTTTGCTACA